GTATTGGCTCCACGACACAAAAGAAAAGCACCAGTCAAGCTACAGCATCTGCATTTTTATGGGGTTGCCGTTAAACTGGTTTTTTTATTAAATTTTAATTTTTTGAAATTAATTTTTATATTATTTTAATGTGCTAATTTTTAAAAAAATTAAAAAAACCAAAAAGAAATATTATTTTAATATATTTTTAAATAAAAAGATACTTTAAAAATCCAGATCACACTCATAAATAAATACAGCAAAAGCAGCGGTCCATTGAGATGGGGCTGGAAGGGCCTTTACTCGGGCTAGATGTTTGTGTCTGAGTGCGGTGCCGTTTAGTAGGAAAACTGTTTGGCAAAAACCCAAATTACAAAAGTAAAGGTCCTACCGGGAGTCGAACCCAGGTCGCTGGATTCAAAGTCCAGAGTGCTAACCACTACACCATAGAACCATTTGTGTCAAGCTTTGAAAATTTATAATATTATTTAAATCTTTAATTTTGAACCACTGCATCAAACTATCGATCCCTCTTTCCAGGGGATAGTATGCAACTAAGAAAGGGTTGTGGCAATCAGCAAAGGCAGCGGGAGCAGGAAATGTTTTTGGTGTTTTGCCAATGTGATCAAATTCTTTCACGCAGCAGAAAAACCCGAAGTGTCATTGTTGACTATTATTAGTTTGACAGGCGTCGTATTCAAATTTGCCAGATGCCACTTTCAAGGTATTATTCGCTGGATTATACTTGTACAAGATTTTGTTTTCGCACATGTAGTGAAGGAAATTTTGTTGTGCTTTTTTCTCTTTATTGTACTTCACCGCAAAAGACACTCTCGAGTTACTGTACCTAAGGCATATTGCTTTTCCTTTTTGCGAGATATAATAGTTTTGTAGGAGATTTGTGGTTGCAGGCATAATCATTCCTTTCCCCAGCTGCACATCTTCTTTCGTTGTATTATTATTATACCTTCTTAAAGCGATTTCGATGTATTGCAGGATCTACGAAGAAAACCTCCTGTTACTGGCACCCTATTCTCATGGCATAATACTCTACAATTTAGCCTAACTAGAGATATCCATGGAGAACTTGGAATTGGTAAGTGACTAATACCGTGCCAAAAGTGGACACCTGCATTACTTGATCTGTGAAGCCGAGATAGTGAGATCCCAATATACCACTCCAAATATATATATATGAACATCCTAAGAGATGTTCTAGAGTCCCTTAAGAGGTCACAATGATTGTTTTGTGAACAACATGTGGAAAATTTAGGTCACATCATCTCATCAAATGGTATTGTTACTGATCTTAAGAAGACAGAGGCTATTAGGAAATAGTCAATTCCACAACCAGTCAAAGAATTGAGAGGGTTTCTAGGGTTGGAAGGATACTATTGCAAATTCTTTAAAGGACTTGGAATTACAAGCAAACCTCTAATATATTTGCTAAAGAAGGAAAATTTAAGTTGGGACTAGAAATCTTAAGAGACTTTTTAATCATTTGAAGGTTGCCTCGTGTCAAGCTCCTATTTTTGCATTACTAAATTTCAAATATGCTATTATACTAGAAACAAGTGATTGTTCTAATAGGTTAGGAGCAGGAAGGGAGGCCATTTTCCTTTTTTCAGCAAGGCACTGAGTCTCAGACATCAAATGTTATCCATCCATGAAAAAGAGTGTTCGATAATATTAATAGTTGTGGATAAGTGGAGACACTATTTAGAGAATAACTTGTTTATAATCAAAACTAATCATGAAATTTAAAAGTACTTACTGAAGCAGAAGGGTATCTAAAATTCTTACAGGAGCTGAAATTTATGTTCAATTGCTCATCCATGAAGGTCTTGATAAAAAGAATGGTAAATGAGTGTGATGTACGCAAACAAGCCAAATCAGAAGAATAGCTTATCCTGGACTGCTGCAACATTTAATAACTTTAAAAGGCATATGGAGGAATATTACAAACGATTCCATTGACGGACTTCTACTGTTATAAGAAAAAAGACACCATATTGGTGATTATTAAAAAATTCACGAAGCATAGTTATTTTATTGTTCTTAAACATCCTTTCACGACACCATTTGGAGGGAATTGTTCAAGTTCCTGGGAGTTAGGCTACTTATGAGCTCTTCATTCCACCCTGGCCAATCTAAATGAGTCAATCAGTTCTTGGAAATACACTTAAGATGCATGATTATACATGCCCCTAAGAAGTGGATTCATTAGCCCAATAGTGGTATAACTCAAGTTACCACACTTGTATAAAAACAAGTCCATTTCAAGCCTTGAATGGCTATTCACCTCCTCGTAGAGAGTTGCTTGCATAGGAGGTGACTGCAGTACTAGCTGTTGTGGAGGATATGATATAACAAAGAATTAACTTGGACCAGGTGTTAAAGACTCAACTTGGGGCAGCGAGGCACATGATGAAGCATGTTAAAGACGAAGGTAAGACTAACAGGGGATTTCAAGTGGGGGGTCAGATGTTTCTCAAGTTACATCCTTTACCTCTACGAATAAATTTCAAACTGAATCCAAGGTTCTATAGCCCATTTATGATTATTGAGAAGATTGGGCACGTGGCTTATAAACTACAGCTGCCACGGGGATCTTCCACTCACCTTGTGTTCCATGTTTCGCTACTTGAAAAAAAAAAAAAGGTGGGAACAAATATTGCAGTAGCTTCAAAGCTACTAAAAATGGATGAGTATGGCCGAATTAAAGAGCAACCACTGGAGATGTTGGAGAAAAAGATCATCAAGAAGGGTAACAAAGCAGAAGCAATGGGATCAATTAGATGGTTTCAACTTACTTTCAGAAGATGCTACGCGGGAAGACTTGGAGGAATTACATGAGCAATTTCCTGATTTTGAAATGTACTTTTAAGGGCAAGAATCCTTGATGAAGGGGTATTGTTAGTGATAACATATTGGTAAAGCGAAAGGAGCAGAATCAGTGGTGAGAAGCAGGGTGGGAAGTAGCGAATTCGAAGAATATCTTGCACGTGCTTGTTAGTCTGTTAATTAGTTGTAATCAGTTGGAAGGTAGTTAGTTGTTAGTTTTGGTAGTTAAGCAAGGAATAAACTGGTATATAGAGTAGTGTGAGAGACATGCAAACCAAGTAATAAAGATTTGCCATTTTTTTTATAATTTTGCAGACTCCCTTCTTCTTCTGCTAAAAGATTATCAAATTCTATGTTTACACTCTTATTTGTTCTGCAAAATTCTATGTTTACACTCTTATTTCTTACGATTCTCTTTACTTTTCTGGATGGTTTTTTTCGCAGGAGGATAGATTACAAAATCATCTCTCAGATGTGTTTGTATTTTTATTTATTTTTATAATCAACAGCTTCGCCTTCACTGATTCTTGAAATACAGGAAGCAGTCTCCGAGCAAGTTAGATTTTTTTTTGGTTATTTAAATTATGTTCCTTAATTCATAAGTTTTTTTTTTTAGCTCTTAACTCTTTAGAAGAATTTTATCAATTTGCTTGTTCTCAGAAGTTACTTGGATGAAATGCGTCCTCCTCTCAGAAGCTTTCAGTTGAGCTGCCTGCAAGGGGCATTGCGAGAATGAGATATCGTGCGCATGGATTGGCTTTGTTGAAAATCAGCTCCGAAAAATGAGCTCTTGGTCTTTTGGAATTTGGACAGAACCAACTTCACTTGAAGAGGATGCTCTGGATTTTCTTTCGTTATTTTTTTTTATTTGTGGGGTGTAATTTGTAAGTATATTGTGGATTTGTTGGTTGTTCAACATGTTTTGATTTCTTGAAGAGCCCTGTTCACACAATCTTAAATATTGGAGCAAGATCATCATATAATGGAAAATTATGGTCCCCTGTTCAACAAGTTTTGAAGCCATTTCTTTTTTCACTTCCAGTGTTTTTATGTCATTTTCTGAACATGCACTTAGAGTTTATTTTCTTAAATTATTAATAGTACTTTTTTTTTTTAACAATAATCTGTAGTACTTCTATGCAGCGCAAGATTATAAACTGAACTCGTGAAAGCAGTGGCATCCTGATCTTTTCTTAACCTTAAGGTACTCGTCGGTATTGAAACAGTACTAATTTCACAAACTGTATGTCGATGTCACAGATGCCTTGTCAGAAACTGTATGATCTGGTGATTTCAGTGGCAGTTTCATTCAGTTGATGATTGGAAACTGCAAGCATAATACACAGTGATAGCGTATAGCAATCATCGGCATCAGAAGCTCCATCAGGAGAAATAATCCTGTGCAGAAGCTTCGTCTAAAGAGTAGAAGGATTGCGCGTTAGTCTCTTTCTTTAAGCCAATCTGGCCATCTTAATGAGAATGTCTGTCATAGAGAAGACTGCACATTTAGATGCGAGCATTTGCCCCGTGCACGTTTAGACTAACTTTATGATTCTGTGCCCAAAAGCATAGCCATCTACCCCTTAGCTCAACTATTAGCAGGAATTCAAGTGGAGGTATTTGTTGCTTCACTACTGCTGGGAAGAAATTTTGGTCTTATTATAAACTGGGTTTATGCCCCTCCAGCTGTGCATTGTTTTCTACAGTAACCATGACCGGATTAACCAGCCATGTTCACCACTGAATTATCTGGGCTTTCATTCTCCGCCTGAGAAGTTAGTGGGAATAAAATTTGTCTTTTGAACGCTCATTTTTCATACAAACTCCACGACAGAGTTCTGTGTTTTTGGATTGTTGCATTTGAAGTGAAAGAAGCAGAGATCACCAAGTAGGATTCAGATCTTAAGTCGTGTCACAAATTTTATGGACGATTTGACCTCTGCTCCTTTTCCTTTTCTTTTTTCTCAATTTTTTTTTTTTGTACACGTTTCACAATTTCGTGAGAAACGGTGTTTGTAGATTTATTTTGCTAATTTCATAGCTATTTTGGTATTTAATTGGCCAGCTGTTTCATACTATTGAAATAATTTTTGCATTTGTAATAAATATCAGATCCATTTTCTAGAGTATAGATTCAGCTTTAAAGAAATACCCAAATATATATATATATAAAAAAAAAAAAAGATAACAGAATAGCCCCCGTCATTGCATTGCATTCTGCCCTGCTAAGCGCGAAGTCCTTGGAATAATTAATCAAGACAACGGAAAACTCCATCTGACAAGGTCAATTTCTGATTTTAAGGAGCTTACAGCAAGAAACCCACAACAGAGCCAGTATTGTACTGATACATCAACATAGATAATCAACTAGAAAATTCAGCCGCTAGCCTGTAACAGTGTTCGACTAAACTCTATCCAAACGAATGGCTAAAAATTGCGCTGGTAGAAACTTTTTTCTTTCTGTCAACGATGCTACTTAATGGCTATTAAATCACCAAAATAAACAAAGACGGGCTAAACTATTTGATCATGGGTATAAAAATAAGGTTGTCATCACTGTGATAACTTTGGATCTTGATGTGCCTGCTCATGAGTTTTCAAATCAGACGACAACACAGGTGGCCAATCAAATCGGACGACGACGCAGGTAATGTTGTCAGTGCTCCCCCGTGCATAAGCTTCTTGTATTAGTTTTCTTGAAGCTGCTTCTGCATCTGTTATATCTTGCACTAGCGCTACTGCATCCTGGAAGCACATAAAAGCTACCACGTTAACATGCCACATTCAACTAAAATGGACTTATAATTGTGCAGGGTAGTTATCTCGATCCAACAGTACTCAACCAGAAAACATGTTTTCAAGCTTCCATGACAGTAAATATAGTTTTACTATTAATTTAAACATCCTGCTGCCAGAATTCGTGATTTTCACAAATCCTAACTGAATTTCCCATGATAAGAGGCTATTCTAAAAGGGAAGCAAACCTTTTGACAGACAGAAAGCATCCTCGTCAACACAATCACAAGCTTACCGGTCTATAACTAGTTTCAAACTTCGATGGTTTGGGCAGATGTAATCCTCCAGGAATACAATCCTAGAGTAACTTTCTCTAGAATGGCAGACTGTATCATACATTAAGTGCATGCCTCTTGAATAAAGATCTAGCAAGTACTACATCATCCATAACACTCAGATGAATTAAAATACCCATTTTATTGACTTCAAACTTCAAAATCACCATTCCCTCTATGAATTTTCAATGATAACAAATCACGTACTTGCTATTAACAGTTCAGCCAAATTTCTACCATCAATAAGAGAATGATTTGGGGTCCAACTCTGAGTCTAATGGTTCCTTGGGTACCATAAATTAGGGCAAAGGAGGCAAGAAAGAGAGGGCAAGTGGGAACAAATAGAAAGGGCACATTTTTCCTTTATGCTCTCAGGACATCCAGGAGGAGGAAAAGAACCAACTACTGCCAAGATCCACTCTCATCAACTGGAGACCAAGGATATCTCGTCCCAGCCATTCAACACTAGTAACCCTTTGTGCATGTGCTTAGCCCCACCCACTCCCCCAACGCCCCCCCTCCTGAGCTTTTGGATACAAATAATATTATTCTTCATGCATGGTACTGATATCAACAATTTTCAATGATAGGAAAGACTTCAGAAGATTTTGCACAATCCTTTAAGAGCAGAAAAGCCTGACCTTATTTGTTAGGGCATTCCATAGCCCATCGCTTGCAACAATTATAAATTCTACACCATCAATTTCTTCTTCCTAAACATTGGAACAGAAACGATCATTAGTGATGTGGAATTAAACAAGAAAAGCAAATAGACATGTGATAATGGTAAAGTCCAGTTTCCCTGCTATATTTCCCTTCCATATTTCCACAATGAATAAAATGGCAACAAGATCACACATAAAAACAGTATAAACTAGCATATGATTATTTTTGCTCCCCAAAACTACCTGAATTTCTGGCTCAGCAACAACATATGGCTTAAGTAGCTTATCCCCAAATGCACGAGAAACAGCAAGCACGCCACCCACTCGCCATGTTCCTAGAAATTTTAGCAACAGGTTAGAGATATTTGTCATAAAACTTTTGGCCAGTACTTCATCAAACCTGTATCATGATATCGAGCATAAAAATAAATTAGTGGCATATAATAGAATCATTTTCCTTCCCTACAGCTAAATGCCAGCACCAGCAAAGCTCTCCCAACTTGCACCCATAATGGAAAATGGTTCCAAAATCTGATTTTTAAAAATTAAATCAAGAAAAGGCCTACTATACCCACATTCAAGAAAAATAAATGAACAAGGCCAGCACATTAAAAGAGCTTGAAATTATGTTTCTACATGTAAAAGCAAGAGCAGACACAGCCAAAACCTACAAGTCAACTTATATTAAACCTTCGTTAAAAAACTCTGGAAAGTTTTCAAGTTAATTTATAGAAGAATTGATCAAGCAAAGCAGAGTTTTAGCAGTTCATCTCCAGTCTCCGAGAAATTAATGAGATTGTTAGAAATCTAAGTTTGCTTAGCTGAAAAGGCATCCACAGGCTGAAATGGCAATATCCATGTGAAATTCATTCTGCACAAGTATACAACAAATGCAGATGAAGGAACAATGAAGGAATACATATTTCTCAAGATGATCAAGTTTCACCTGCCCACACAACGAAACCTCCAGCCTCTTCAATCCTTTGGCGTTCATCAGATCTATCAGGTTTATGGTCAATAGACAATGGAATAGCTACAAATAAAATATAATAAAAGTCATACAATATACAAATACATTTCATAAATGTAATTCTTAACTACCCTTTATCTAATAAAACTCTTGAAATTACAAGGGAACTTTGGAACTCTTTCCTTCACGAGACCTCATAAAAGCATCTTTCTGACCTGGTATCATTATTCATCAACCTATGTTTACTCGTGTATAAATAACCAGTTTCCGTAATTCTTAATTCTATTTCATGCCATTTCATACTACATCCCTTTTTCACTAAGAATTTACCGTGCCCCAAGAATACTTAGACTACCACCACTTATAATTCAGTCTTGACAGAGAAATGAGCCACCTGAACCAGCTCTACAGGCAACAACTCGAGAATCGCCAACATTAGCAACAAGCAACCGGTCCCCTAGAAGAACAGCAGTTGACGCAGTTGACCCAGCATCTTTTTGATGGGCCTTTTCTTCATGGAGGTATTCTGCATCAGTCTGCCTAAATGCTTCAACTGCAACAAAATGCCAGGTATCAACATCAGTCAACATTGCACTCATTCAATACAAACACAATTCCATACCAATTGCTGTCTTTGTGTCTCTGATAAAATCAGGGTGGCTGCTTAAATTCTTGAAAAGGTTATTTTTCAGATATTCTGCGGTTCTAGCACCTCCATGGCCTAAATAAGACACCATGAGTGAGTACCCGTTAAGTTTAAAACACACTCTTAATTTGATGAATTTATGGAAATGAAGAGCTGAGGCAAATACCATCAAAAACACCGAAGAAGGCAACCATTTGACCATCAACTTCAGAAATACTTGTCTCATAGAAATCCTCCATGGAAGCTCTTTTACCCTTAAAACTCGAATATCCATAACTAAATCGAGCACCTCCGCTTCCATTAAGAAAGCTGCAAACCATAACAATAACTGACTTGTAAAAATATTTACTTCAATTTTGATAATCTAATACTTAATATTTCGGATCGAACCAAATACAAGTTCAAAATCCAAAACTATATAAGCAAAATAGAAAAAGCAACATAAAAATAATTTTTTAGAAGAAAAAAAAAACAAATAAACCTGATGCCGCCGCCGCTGAAAAGGGCATCGGGATCTCTACCAGAGATCATAATAATATTTGAGCTTAGAGAAGTTGATTCTGATTGTGATAGGTGACGTGGTGGTGGCGAAGGTAGTGGGGGATGGGCGTCGACGTCATCCCCGACTGGGGAAGGAGGAGAAGTGGAGGCCGTCAAGTTGATTGGTTGGAATAGTTGACTTAAAGGAAAAGTAAAGGCAGATGATGGTATTGCGGTAGAGTGGCGTATGGATGATTTTAAGTTGAAGAAGAATATTTTATTCTATTTATTAGTAATTAAAGAAAATGCTTCTTCTCCGCACCGCCAGGTATTTTATTAAATTTGTTTCCTTGGATAGTGAGTGTACCGGTTGTGGTGGTGGTTTGTTAAAGTATTTTTTACTAATAAACATATTAAAAATTTTATTTTTTATTTTAGTGTATTAAAATAATTTAAAAATATAAAAAATCAATTTAAAATGTAAAAAAATCAAAACTTTCAAAAACATTTTTTAACAACAAAAACAAATACGTTATTAGTTGATTGCATTAACAAAAAACTAAGGGAAGAAGGTGGGATGTTGTACTCTAAAGCATAGTTTTTAAACCCGGCCCGGTCCAAGGCCCGGGTTCCAGGTTTTGACCGGGTCGAACGGGTCGGCCGGGTTAATTTTTATTTTTAAAAAATTCAAAACGACGTCGTTTTAATAAATAAATAAATAAAAGTCAACGGGTTACCACTGGGTTTTTGACCGGGTTGTCCGGGTTTCCGGGTCAACCCGCCGGGTCGGCCGGGTCATGTCGGGTCATGGCTTACCTTATTTTTTCATCAACCCGGCCCGGTTCCAGCCCCGGGCCGGCCGGCCGGGTCCCGGGTCAACCCGCCGGGCCGGGCCGGGTTTTAAAACTATGCTCTAAAGCTCAAAACACTATTTTTTGACAAATTTGTGCCATATTCAAAAAATTATCCGGCTAGGCTTAGAGGGCAAGATGGTCTTTTATTATTATTCAATGTTTTTTTTATTTGTTTCGAGTAAATTAGTCTTTTAAATTTTTTTAAAAACAGTTAAATTATTTAAATATCTAAAGGACAAAAAATGATGGCTTAAGTCTACGGCATAGTTTTAAAACCCGGCCCGGCCCGGCGGGTTGACCCGGGACCCGGCCGACCCGGGGCTAGAACCGGGCCGGGTTGATGAAAAAATAAGGTAAGCCATGACCCGGCGTGACCCGGGGTGACCCGGCCTACCCGGCGGGTTGACCCGGAAACCCGGACGACCCGGCAAAACCCGGTCAAAAACCCGGTGGTAACCCGTTGACTTTTATTTATTTTTTTATTAAAACGACGTCGTTTTGAATTTTTTTAAAAATAGAAATTGACCCATTCGACCCGGTCAAAATCCGGTGACCCGGTCAAAACCTGGAACCCGGGTCTTGGACCGGGTCAGCCACCGAGCCGGGTTTAAAAACTATGATATAGGGACTTCTACATCTTTTTTATTTTTTTTTATTAAAGTTTAATTACCTAATCACCTCATGTTTAAAATTAACAACACTGTCGTGGTGTTTTTATCATGGTTTTTGGGCAGGTAGACAACCACCGCGCCCTTCGAATAGTGTTTGCATGGTTGTCTCATCATCAAATATCTTCTTTTATGGCAATGTTTAAAAAGTCTTGATATCATCTCCAAGACAGTGGCATATGCGTCAAACACGCTTCTGGTTTGCATAAATTCTTTTTTTCTTTTTCTTTTCATTATTCTCTTTATTCACCTCAAATTCTATTCCAATCCTTTTAAAATTTTATATTAGTCATTTTTTTTAACATTTAGTTCATATAATTTCGATTATTATTTATTTTATTTTAAATAATTTATCAAAATATTTTTTTTAATTTAATCCCTTTTATTTTTTTATCTTTCAAATTTAGTTTTTATTCTTTTTATTGCTATTTACTTTGTTTAGGATTGTTTTTTGTTTTTTTTTACAATTTTACCCTTCTTAGATTGTTTTTCCTATTAAACTTTATCTTTATTCTTTTTATTGTGTTTTTTTTACTTTTTAAATTGATATTTTTTTCATGATTTAATTCTTTAATATTAAATTAGTTGGGAGTTAAATTTCTTGGTTGAACCCAGATTCAGGATTTCATGAATTATAAATTTTAGAGATTCAATCAGATTTAAGAGGTTAGCATCAAGTTTGTTTGATTTTTTTATTTTTCTTCATTTAAGTTTTTTTATTTATTTTTATCCTTCAATATTTATTAAATTAGATACCAAGTTCTATTCTTTTTATTTATTTGCTTTCTGAAAAAATATTTTTTGATATTAAAAATAACTTTGTTTATCTCATATCTTTTTTTTTTATCTTTCTTTGTTGAGTTTTTTTGGCCAATTCTTTAAACTAATATTTTAAAAACAATTTATGAAATTAAGATTTTTTTATAATTTCATACACCTTTAATTTTTTTAATCTTTCAAATATAGTCTCTATTTTTTATTGCTATTTGTTTTATATGGAATAATTTTATTTTTTTTACAATTCCATCCTTATTAAGTTTTTTTTTTCTTGTCAAATTTGATCTCTATTTTTTTTATTGTTTTTTATTTTTTTGGTGGATTTTTTAAATTGATGTTTTTTATATATTTTATAATTTGACATTAAATTGATTAAAAATCGACTTTTGTAAACTAACCCATTGTTGAGATGTTCCTTCAGATTTACTTTTTTTTTCTTCTTCTTCTTTTTAAGTTTCATCTTTCAATATTTATTCAATTGAAAATTAAGCTTGGTTATTTTTATTTATTTTCTTTCTGTATAATTTTTTATTAATTTTAAAAATGACTTAAGTTTTCTCGGGGTTTTTTTTTTAATTATTATTCTTTGTTGGATTTACTTTGACTACCCAACATTAAATTGATTATGAATTAAACCTTTTAATTCATTTTGGTTTTAAGATTTAATGGGTTATGAATTCAAGACTTTAACCTAGATTTAGAAAGTTCATGTAAATTAGCTTGATTTATTTTTTTTTCTTTTTTAAAGGTTATGTTTTTTTAATTTTATTATTAATCATTTATATCACTGGCAATCAGACTTATCTTATCTTTATCTTTCTTTTATGCAATGTTTTTATGAATTTTTATAAATTAATTATTTCAATTAATTTTATGTTGCATTAAATTGATGTTAGTTGTTGAATGACAGATTTTTTATATATTGTTGGAATCAGACAATAATATAATTAATTATGCTTGATGATCTAATACAAGAGAGTATGGATGTTGTTTTTGCACGGTGAATAATACATTTTATTGAATTATTAATAAGTTGATAAATTTGGTATCTATTTTAAATTATATTAATTTATTGTGAATTTGAATTTGATTTAATGCGATTGAGTTTCATAAATTATGTGTAATTATTGGTAAATTTGCTTTAATGTTAAATTTTAAGAATTTGATATGAATTTTGTTAATTATGATTAAAGTGGTGTAATTTAATTAAAATTACATCTAATTGACTAGAATTCAAATTGTTTATATATATAATGTTTTATGTATAATTCTTGTGTAGGAGAGACTCCATCCAAATTTTATTAAAATTATAAAATTTTTAACTTTCTAAAATAATTAACTAAATTAAAAGTAAGATTAATAATATAAATATTTTTTTTTTGTTGTATTCAGATGCTGGGAAAATTTGTTATTAGAAGAGACAATAGTCTCATTATCAATTCTCTAACTCAATTAATCAACCAGTTTGTTATGGATTGGAACTAAATGACCAATTCACAACAAAACTATGATTTTTTTGAATCATTTTGTTCTAATATATTTTATGAATTTAAATATAAATGTTTATTCAACTTGTAAACTAAAAATTAAACCACAATTAAGATCTTTAAAATTTATTATTCATATAGAAACTTATCTCTGTTTTTCAATTTTAACTAATATGCTGGTATAATTATTAACTACTATAATTTATAAAAAATTGACTAAATGACATTAATTATAATCTTATCATGATTGGGACCACAATAAAATTAATTGGTATCACAATTACCAAAAATTAATTGATAACATAATTACCAACAATGATATTTAGAGTATATTTAAAATTGTAATAAGAGAGATGGTTCAAAATATTTTTTATTTAAAAATATATTAAAATAAAAAAATTATTTTTAATATCAATATATTAAAACAATCCAAAAACATAAAAAAAAATATTTATTTTAATCAAAACAAAAATACACTCAAAAGATTTAGAAACATGACTTACACCACCACATTTTCACCACCACATTTTCAAACACAACCTTAATCAAATATCATATTTCTAGACCACGACATCCTAGAAATGTTTATTTCACCCAAACTTTTTACTCCTTTTATCCCTGATAATTTGCGCCCCGATAGAGGCTTAACTGGAGTTGAAACAAAATCATAGAAAATAGCCAGAGGCTCAAAATAAAAATAAAACAAAATAAGGAGCATATTCACATTAAAGTGATAACTATTTGCAGGCGGCCGAACCGGAAAAAAAAAATGCCAAATTTTCTATTGAAGGGTATACTCATGAAGTTCATATAACTGCATGATATGCTCAAGTTCTGCGAGTCTTGTTTCTTCCTTGGAGAATTGTGCACCTAAGAATGAGCTCATGCATTTCTAATATAACCCCATTTTCTTTCTCCTTTATGTTCACAAAATTCTAGTTGTCCCCAATAGAAGGGGGAGCAGGGAATAAAAGAAATTCATGAGAAGTAACAGGAAAATAAATCTGGTCAAATAACGGAAAGAACATAGATTCAACCAAATAACATCAATTTTTTTATACAACTAATGTACAGCTTGATGTTGACGGTTGACGTAAAACACAATATTATATCGAAGATGACAGGAAAACCAGAGGATACTCGATAAAGACAGTAGCAAGAGTTCAACTCTGCAATTACCATGAGCAACAACTACTGGTTGTAACATCCTCTGGAGGCTTCTGTTTAAAGATGTTCTTTTTCACACTACTAGAGCCTTCAGCCAGCAGACTGGGCGTTTCCAAAATCTGCATATCAACATAAAACAATCATCACCATTCATGATTAGCATCACGATTGAAGAAAATGCATGCAGTGTGCTAAAATATGAAAACACAGGTTGCTTTACCATCCGAAGTTCTACACATAAGTTCCATTTTGAAAGCATGAAATTCTGCCTTCCAATGCTAAGCAAAGCGTGATGGAAAACTCAAAACTTTAAAGCATCATTTTAAAAGAATTAGACAATAATCTATATAAATTTGTACCAGAAGAAAAAAGGATCAAATTCACTCAAATGCAACAAACATGTTTCATAGATTGTCAATTGAAACAGATAAAAAGTACTTCAAAGTTAAATTAGTAGCGAATGATTGACCAGAGAAGGGAACACACGGGGCAGCAAATGTAATCTTCAAAGTTTCAAATTAAGAAAAGATACAGAACAAACCTAAACTTGTCCCAACAAAAGTAAGTGCTTTAACAGATTACAAAACAAAGAACTACAGGGCAGGTGCTAGAATTTCATCTACCTTTAAAACAAGTTCCTCAAAGCATTGCTCCACATTGACTCTAGTTTTTGCACTACACTCAAGGAAAAGGCATCCATATTCCCTAGCAAAGTCAATACCCTCTTTTTTGGTGACAACCCTTTCGCTCTCCTGTAAAATAAAGAGAATGGATTAAATGTTGGTAAAAGCATTGATATGTAAAAACCTTTTGATATGCTACCTACAAAAAAGACACATGATGTTGTTGTATCTAAGCAGCCTTCGAAAAATTAGAACAGAAATTCAGAACCATACATATAGATGCATGCACGAACAAATGCTTGTTAAATATATAAATGTGTGTTGTGTGTGTATGTGAACACTTGAAATGATATTGAAACAGTGAAAAGGCTGTAAATCCATCCTCATCTAGAAAGAGAAAAGAAAAGAAAAGGGCAAATTCTTACCACACCCTCCGTAGTACAAATAATTTGCAGTGCAATTTTATACATACCTTATCGACTTTGTTTCCAACAAGCATCTTGATGCAATCCTGATTTGTTGAGTACAAATCAATTTCCTTTGCCCATATTTCAGATAGATTTGTAAATGTTTCTCGTCGTGTTACATCATACACTGTACTAATTCCAAAGACAACAGCATTAAGCAAGAGGAGCGAGATAAGAACAACTGAAACCAAAGCAACAATCTGTCCCTTCCAACAACTTGTAGATAGTTGTTTCACAACTATAAGTAAATTATTGATAATCAGTCTCCAAGTCAATGTGATGAATAGATCCAATTACGTGGAGAGAATATCAACCATACATTACAGTAGAGTTAAATATCAACTTTTCCCGGATAAGCTTCAAAGAACATTTAAGGGTTGGGCAAGAAAACAAGACAAAACACAAGGGAGGAATAAACAAGACGAAAACACATACCCATAATTATCCCTTGAGCTCCTCTGTAATAAGAACTAGTTAGAGTTCTAAACCTCTCTTGTCCAGCTGCAACATGAAAAAATAGAAAAAATAAACCTTCATCAACCCAATCAACCAAGCAAAACTAAAGCATTCCCTTCTAGCCAGAGGAACTGTTATTCCCTGATCAGAAATTCCTCCAGACCACGATGCATCAACCAATCACGGCCAATCTATGTATTCTAATGAAAACATTATGTAAAAACAAATTCTAATTGAATTGAACGTTTACGTAAACAAACCATTATCAGACAGACAGTTACCTGTATCCCAGATAGCAAGCTTCAACTTTTTCCCACCTATGGTGACATGCTTTACTTTAAAATCCACACCTACAAATTTACGGAAAAAAAATAAATAAATCTTAGAGCTACACTAAAACTAATTTTACAAACAATTGGTCTATATTCCAAAACCCAAAAATATAACATCGATACAAAGACAAGTCGCTGCAAATATAAAAGCAAGAGAGGTTGCCCATTAACTCTGCAGATACTCAAAACATAATATATATATATAACAATACTCAAATTAATGAGAGAAAGAAAAATATAAGCTGACCAATGGTAGGAGAAAGATCCTCAAAATTCTTGGACGTGAAACTCAAAAGCAGAGTACTCTTTCCCACACCAGAATCCCCAATTAACAACAACTTGAACAAGTACTCAAACTCCTGTTGACTCGTCGACGGTACTTCCATTATTCTACAATTCAATCCCCAGATAACATAACCAAGAAAAAAAATCAATGCATAACGTCAAATGAACATTAACAAAATAATTAGACGAAAACATGTGTATAAATTTTATAGAATAGACAGAGAGTCGGTACCTGGGAATTGGTGAGGGGAGAAGGTTAGGGTTAGATCTAAGGTGGTTGTTTTGTTATGAGAGGGGAGGGGGGGAAGGTTGCAGAGAGGCAAAGAAAGCTCTAAAGTCTTCTTCTTCTTTTCTTTTTGTTATTCAAGTTGTGTGTTGTAATGGCTATTCCCCCCTTTCTTTTTACACCGATTGCTTGCTTGCTCTTGCAAGTCAAGGGTAGTGTATGTTATGGTGCTACCAGGAATATGTTCTTACGTTGCACTTAGATTTTATAGCCGTTCGATAGATACGATTGTCTTTACGAAGGCATATCTGATTTCTCAAGCCGCTCGCCTTCCTTTTCTTCTCAAATTAATTATGTAACCAGTAAGTAGCCTGAGAAATAAAATCCCATGATTATAATTTTGATCCCGCCATGTCTGTCTTGGGTTTGATTCTCTTGGATCTAGAATCCCCCAGGCTCGGGTATTTTTTAAAATATATTAAAATAAAGCTTTTTTAATTTTTTATATTAAAAAATATTATTTTAAAATTAAAAAAAAACACACTCTTAAAAGCAAGTGAAACAGACACTTTCAACCTGTGTATACAGGGTTACTAAATCTTAAAAAAAAAAAAATAATTATGATCTTTAATACAATAATAAAGCTTTTGATTTTTGGATGAACGACACTCCCTTTTAAAGAAAAGCATCATCCACATAAAACAATCATGTAAATGTAATTGCAAATTCAAAATCAAATTACTCACAAACACCTATTAACTTGACTTTATTTGTATATAAAGATCAAATCGTAGTGACTCGTTTGATCTTGAGAAATACTCATTCTGATTATGATGTAAACTCAAACTAATTTGTATTTTTCTCTCTCCATAATTGTCATCTGATCTCGACAAATTAATATCCATTTTGATTATGATTTAAACACCAACATGTTTGTCTTCGTGGCATTAGTTATTTTCGACTTTTAAGAGTAGCTAAAAGAACCTTATCATGTTATTTTCTTCACTTGTGCAGTAATTTTAATAATTTTCATCGTCGCTCCATGACTACTTCTCGCTTAAATCTTGAATGTGGTTAAATTCATGGGGAGATCCTATCGAAGAATTCGTATCATCATAAACTATAGAATTTGATAGTTGAATCTCACTTCAATCCAAGAGATTTAAGATTTGTAATGGGTGGTTCATGCTCAATCTTTCATATTATTTTATATTTTTATATTTATTCAATATCATATGTTTACTTATAATTTATATTTTTAAATTTATTAATGTCTTGTTTGGCATTACGGTCAAATAATTTTTTTGAAGATTTTTGAAATTTTTTTACTTGGCATTACGGTCAAATAATTTTTTTGAAGACTTTTGAAAGTTTTTTACTTTTAAATTATTTTTTTTTATTTTTTTGATATATTAATATTAAAAATAAAATATAAAAAAATAAATATTTAAAAATTAATCCTTATTATATTTTCAATATATCCTAAATGATTTAGGATGTATTTGCCAGGCAGTTAAACTTTGCAATTTTGGGTTTCATTTGGAAAACTTGAATCTTGTGGCAAGTGTCTACTCAATTTTTTTATATTGATTAATGTTCTGTATTTATTTGATATGGGATATGTTAACCAATATAAATAAATCTTTTAAATCCTCTATTAGGTATCTCTGGCAGGTACGTGGTTAGTGGTAACAATTTAAGATTAAAAAATTTATTTTATTTATGATTTTATATTCTAGTTTCATGATTGGTAATATAATAATCATCGGAGGTTGATATAATTATTAATTTTATAATTTATAGAATTAATTAAGATATACATAAGTTGAGTCAGATACATATGTAAATAAAAAAAATCTTTCATATCAATAATCTAATTTGGATAAATAATAATTTTAAAAATTATTCAAAATATCAAAAAATTTATGTTTTTTTGCTGAAAAATAATTTTTTTTATATGTTCTGAATTTTTTTAATACAATGATTTAAAAATATTTTTTTAAAATAAAAAATATTTTTTTAATATATTTTAATATAAAAAATACTTTAAAAATAATTACAATTACACTCCAGTTACATGCACGTGCAACTATTGTCATTAAAGCGCCATTACATTTTAATAATTGTCGTTCGAGGCAATCATAATCCCGAGCATTTTAACCCTTTCATAGTCAACTTAATCAAAAATTTATAACCATGAATCTTATAGCTCTCGTGTAATCTGAGTCTTAGTGTATTTGTCTTATAACATCTATTAATTTTTCTAGCCTAAAAGAGCTCTAAGATATTTTTATCATCCTTCATGTTAGTTATAACTCAATAATTGATACAACTTCGTAACTAATTCGATAAAAAAGTTGATACAAATCATATAATTATTCTTTAATCTGAAAAATAGTTATTTATTTTTATCTAATTAAAAAGTTAATTAATTATCATATAATGTTTGAATTTAATTAACATGACTGTTGGTTGAAATTTCCTCTTTGGGTTTCCCAAACTAACAAAATAAGTTTTTTTTTTTCTAATATAGTTCATATTGAGAAAAAAAAACATAAGATAATTAGAAACTTTTAAAAAATAAATTAGTGTCCACGTTAAAGTAAGAAAACTTAACGTCCAGAGAAAAATAATTTTTAAACATTTTATTGTTATAAAGGTATATATAATCATCAATAAACAAAGCAATAATATATCTAATAATACCAAATAATATTGACACTCAAACGTGATGTGGTGATTGACTTATCTATTTATTAATAAAATTCATAATTTAAAATTTATATTTACATAAAATCATTAGTTTGAAGTATATTCTACTATTTTTTATGATTTTTATATTTATATTTTTAAACATAAATTATATTTGTGATAGTATTGAGATATTTTAATTAAAATTAAAAGATTTTATCTCTTCAAGTATTTCAAAAATAAAAAAAATTATTTGATCAAATTTAAATTTTTTAGGGTCCGGAAAAAAATATTCTTGTTAATTGACTTAGTTTTAAGAATTTCGAGTGACATTTAAACAACTGGAACCTCACCAGGAGAAACTAGATTTGCTTCAAAACTCAAGGAGAGTAAATTAGAATTAACCCTGATTTGTGCATATTTGGTATTATATATTATGCTTTAAAAATACAATTTTTTTTTGGCTAATTTTGATTTAAAAAGTATTATGCTTAAATGAAGAATGTTTTGTCTTTGATGTTTTTAACTAAAAGCATAGTTGTTTATTCGTTAATCATTTTTTTATCTACTTAAAACGACAATATTAATTTCCCGTTAATATTCTAGTTTCTAATAAATCACACACGTGTCAGAGAAGATAATGCTTGAAGCAAATCAATCTTTTTTTCTATATTATAGATTATATTGAATAATTTTAAGAATTATTCTTGCAAAAAGTATGCCATGGGCCATACATGCACGTGCATAACATACAAGGTTGAGAAGTTATAAAATATTTTTCATATGCTATAGTCATCGCTGATATTTAATACCTTAAGAGCACAGTAACACAATTTAATTAATTATTATTTAGTTGATTTAAATATTTGTAAACACAAGAAGTAACCAATCACCAAACATTGTTTTTACACCACAACATAACACCAATAACACATCACAACAAGATTATATTCAAAACACAACACAATATAGTAATACAAATAAGACCTTTTGTATTATGATTGCTTCAAGAGTGGCTTAATTTAACTATTGTCTTCTATGTTAATTATAATCCTGATCATTTTAACCTTTTTAAAAGCAACTTAACTAGAAAAGAATAAAGAAATAAGGCCACATATCTCGTAATTATCATTTAACCCGGTTTGATATTATATTTTAAACAGTAGTTGAGTAAAATTTAAATTTTTTATTTAAAATTAATTTTTATATATTTTTAAATTTTTTTGATTTAATGAAATTAAAACTAATATTTTAAAAATAAAAATATTATTTTAATATATTTTTAAATAAAAAATATTTTAGAAAACAATCACTATGATATTTAAATCACTTAATCAATAAATATTCACTCAAATAACACACTGAAGGGCAACTAAAAAGATACAATATTGCTATTTGTGCTGTTTGTAATTCCATGACTACTTTTGAACAAATCCAACTGAAAACTTTATCGATGCAAACTCTAGAATTAATCATCTGATACCAATAAATATTTACTTGTTTTTGTATTGTGATATGAACTATCATTATTTTAAGAGCGATTTAGCTTAATTATTAGTTGTGCATGTTAGTTATAATCTTAATTATCTTGAACTTCTTAGATCCAAATCAATTAAAAAACGAGACTCAACGAACATCAACTTTAATCAATTCTCAGAGATGGACATACTAAAGAATTAATATATAGTTAGTTATTAGATAAATTTAAGATACATTATTTTTGTCTATGTTAGTTGTAATTTAATTAACTTCACGATTGCATGACTCAACGGAGAACGTTATTTTCAACTTATTTATCTATTATTTCAGAATAAGTAGCTCTTACTTTCATAATGGTTTAATTTCAATGGTATTTTTCATATTGAACAATAAAATACTTTCACTATCCGTAAAAATGAAAAATCAGATAATTACTTTTTTGGTTTTTTTAGACTTCATATTTTTAGCACAATCAATTTACTAAAATAACCTTTGTTTTAAAATTAATTGAAGTTTTTTTATGGGGCACTTTTGTATTTTAAGAAGGATTTTTTGCTGTAATAAGACTGGTTAAAAGGTAAATTAGTCTTTTATGATAAAAAAAAAAAAA